TCATGAAGGGAGACAAGCTGGAGAAACAAGATGGCAGCGGCAGCCAAGAGCGAAGTCATGAAGGGAGACAAGCTTGGGAGACAAGCCGGCAGCGGCAGCCAAGAGCGAAATCAGGAAGGGAGACTAGCTTGGGAGACAAGCTGGCAGCGGCAGCCAATTTCCGCAATCCGGAACCCATCCATTGAGAAGTAAGAACCCCTATAGCTTCCAGCTATCTGGGGACAAATTTTGGGAGATAACTACATCTGCTGTAGACTAACTACAAATGATTCACGTGTATCTAGCCAAACGATTCAGAACTCTCGGTTCAAAGCCGCTTCAATTCGCAAGTCGATGCACCATGCCAAAACCGGACCTCCCTGAGGGCCCGTGCTGAAGGTGACATTGAAGAGCAATTCTTCGCTCTTGGTCGTGGTGATCCATCCTCCCACCCAAGGCGGAGAACAGGGCCTACGTTGCCCCAAAAGCAAACGGGCAAGCGGAGGGTCTTTGGACGCAAAACCTGAAAAAAGAGGGAACGAACTCTCAAGTTCCCGCGAACTGAAATGAATCCATCTGAAAACGGGCGAGCTGAGCTAATTTTGAGGCTTTTCTGAGCTGTCTTCCCCAGGAGTTCCGGCGTTCCGAAGGAAGGTGTGCGGCGTAGTCGGATGGAGTCCGTTCCGGGAATTCGATCGAATGCACTCCAGGGAGACAAACCTGGAGCCTCTACATGGCAAGCACTTTTCTGGTCTGAGCAATCTTTCTGCCTGACCTCTACACCCCCAAAACTACGAACTGACACTCAGGGGTGGAGGAGAGCCCTTGCTATGAGGCAAACACAAACCAGCGAAGCATGCCAAGCCAATGAACAAGTGAAGCAGGTCCTGTCCTGGTTTGCCTTTCCGGTCTTCGAATAACTTCCAGCTGCCACCAGCACTTTGCAAGGGCGTATCACCTCGAGTTCAGTAACATGAGCTCCACCAATTTCACGAAAGAAACATTCTGAGACTGGAAAGACTTGCACCAACGAGTGAAACGCCCGTGGATTTGTAAAGCCAAAGTGATCGGCGTGGCACTTCCAGGTCTGTAGGAGATGCTCAAAAGTGCTGTCGGTTGAAGAAAAAGAATCAACTTCCCCAGCTGTTCGAGCTTTTCTCGGCAGTTTCGATGCTAAACGGCGGGCTTCGATTATATAGAAGGGCCTGTATTTCTCGCTCAACCATGCTTGTAGTGGAATCCAAAATCTCAAGGACACCAGGCTCATGTCATCGATTCACTTGAGATTCTTGGGATGTTTGATGCCCTTGATTTAGTCAGAAGCTCAATCACAGTGGTTGCACGTAGCATTTACCCTTCTCTGATACAGTACTGTGCCGTACTACATGATGATCTAGGCATGTGCGCACATTCAGGACGTGTCATCATCACCTCGGTGGCCAGACATTCTGAAACCATCTATGGGAGCTCATTGATGATCCTCTAGCGTTGGTCTGCCACCAGGCCAGAATGGTGGTCCCCCAGCAAAATGAATCTGATGAATCACTGATGAATCATTTGGTCAATGGCTGAAGTTCCCATGACAAATGCATAAGGTCACTAGGTCAGTGGATGTCAGTTGTAAACCGGCTTGGACAGATTGGAATCTGAATGGGAAGATGGACAGATCGTCCATGCCAGGCCGGATTTGGTCGAACCTCCCATCGCCAAGAAGCCCGTGGGGTTTCTGGCGAGATGGGTCGTCAACGGAAAGATGCACAGTTCCACGGCCCTTAGCCGAGATGGGCGGTCTGAAGGGGAGGAGTGGAACATGAGAACATGCAACAAGGGAACAAAGATCTATTGAATTCGTGTTGGGGTAAACCCGCAAAACTAACCGTTGGTCATCAGCAAACCACCCTGGTGGAGGAAAGACCTGACAAAGTTCATAACGAGAATGTCAACTACAAGAAATGTTCAGTCGAGCAAGCGGAGGCAGTTCATGAGTTCTCATTGTGGAAGTCTGCGTCAGTGAGGACAGCGGCCATCCTTTTGGACATCGGTGGACCGGCTCTTCAAGCATCGGCTCTGCAGGCTGTGGTCATCCTCCTTTGGCTGTGTCCCTTTTGAGGAACACTTGTGTCATTGCAGAAATGCTGGTTGCAGCTGGTGTCATGTTTTCCGCGTTCAGGAACTACCGACACCAGTTCAGTTCTCATCTTCATGTTTGTCCGTGTCTCTGCTTCCGGAACTGTTCCAAGCACCATCTTCCCCACCTATTGTTCGCCCACGGTACTGTCTTCTTCACTTTTCTTGGCTGAAAACCTTTAATGCAAGGACCCGAGGACGCCCAAGCAGAAGCCACAAACACTTGTAAGTCAGGGATGTGTCGACCAGGAAACGGCAAAGGAACTTCCTCCTTTGACCCAACTGCCATTGTCAGAATCGATCCCAAAGTGGCTCCAAAACCCAAACCCACCACATGCCTCCAGACAAGATGTATATATAATAAGGCACTCTCACATTGCCATCTACAACTGCAGTCACGCCACAAACCTTTATCTCCTTTAACACATCTCCTGGAAATGGTTCCTATCATACCTATCTCCTTGAGGATCTGATTAGCTGAACCTACCACTCATCAGTCACTACACAGTCACATTGTCATCACAGGCGGGGGTTGTTCCATCCTCAACTTTTCTGTCTGGCAACTCGAGGTTCATGCTCTTCAACGGCTTGATCCAGTCCTCACCAGGCGCCGATCGGCGTCGATCGACCCGAAAAGCCGAAAAGCGGTGGACGTCCGACATGTTCGCACCTTGATCATCACCGTTCCGAGGCTGGGGTTCTTGGACGATGCTGTAGTGGTTTTGAAGCCCCTAGCACTTTGTGAAGCTCGACCAAATCAATACAGCTTCCCATCTCAGAAGCAGTTATAACTCTGCGATGCGTTTTTCAGAAGTCTACAAGGCCACTTGCGATTCACTGCTATTCAAAGTCCTTCCTATTCGAACCTCGAAACACTACGCCCCCGCTGCCTGGTCCGCTGAGCTCTCCGGTGCCCGGAGTGCTGGCGCAGGTGGCGCCATCGCTCCCGGTGTGACCGGCAAGGTGGCGAGCCTCGGTTGGGCGCCCGACGCCGATGGGCCAAGAGGGCCTCTTGTTCATAGCGGTTGCGGAGGTGTGGTACTGAAGAGCTGGCAAAACACTGAGGGAGGACTATCCCACTTTCCTAGTGTGAGAGACTTTTAGGCACTGTGAAGAATAGTGGAAGACAAAGTTCTGCTATCAATGGGCCAGATTTGTCTAACCCGACCAGCAAACGTTATGGTTCTAGAGAGTTTGTCAAAAGGGGGAAAAGGCAGAGACCAAAAAGTCATCGCCTCCAGTGGAGGCCGCGGCCTGAAATTCCTCATCCATGACCTGATCTTTCGTTCGGACCTCACAAACGAGTCAGATCAGACGATCGTCGTTCTATTCCACTAAGCTGCGCGTTGTTCAACCAGTCCACCAGCATGTCAGCATAGAAGGCATGCCCCGGCCATTGAGGGTGCCGATTGGCCCAGTCCGGATAGCTCACAGGAGAGGGTCGAGGCCACATGAGGCTGAGGCTCGTTTGGTTGCCTGGACGAACTTGTCGAAGAGATCCAGGTCAAACACTGATAGAAAAAGGATGAAAAAGGGGGGTTTGCATCTATCTGCTTTGGGGGGTCTTCACTCCAGACCTGTTCTGTCACGTTGATGGAGGACACTGGCACCACCCCGGTGCAAGCACCCCTGTAAATGCTGTTGGGCCCCCGTCTTCCCTCCCGAAGAAAGGTCTTTGGAAATGGAAGAGTGCCGTGATGTGGAAGAAGCATTTACTTTGGTCTTTGTTCATTGAATGTATTCCATGTCCACATCTCAAAAGCACCTTTGTAGAGAGCTGGGTAGGATCTTACGAACTTCCAGGGCTTTCGGCCCTCAAGCCATCTGAAACAAGTTGCTGAAAACGCCAAACTGCACCATGGCTTTCTCATAGTTGAGAAGCGGAAGATGGTAGTGTTTCGCCACCGCTTGCAGGATCTTCAAGTCGTGGTCGTCCTTGACTGTATGAAACTCATCTGCCATATCCTTGGTCAGAGGAAGGTCGAGGCGATTCCACAGGAAAAAACGTTGCAACGGTCTCCATCCAATGAGAACCGTCCCCAAAACAAGAGAAAACACAGAGCCCTCCTCCTGCAACCTCTCACACACATTCCGCAGAAACACGTCGTCCGTCGTCTCTGTCGTCCGTCTCCGTCTCTGTCGCTCTGAGCGAGCTGCTCGATTGTACAGCAGCACGATGAAGCTGTCCGGCCTCGGTCGATGTCCGGAGCCGCCTTTCGGGTTTCCACGGGGTGTTCTTTTTGGTGTCAACGATAGTGGTGTTCCAAGTTGTTCTACAGTGTCCAAGCAATTCCTATCAGAATGTGTCTATCAATTTAGGTGTCAGCCTTTGGCATATTTGATCCGTATTTGGCACTCCCTTCAACCATCATGGTTTGGTAGAACGCTTTGCAGACCGCTTGCATGTCCACATTGACATGTTAGCTACACCTCTCTTGCAGACAGCCAAGTGACAAGAAGAGGTGACAAATCCGGATAAATTCCTCCAGCTTGTGGTCTCGACCACCCCATCCGTTCCTCAGATTCGAGCGAATGCGAACGAACAACAGCGGTCGTGCGTCTGCTCCCACAGCGTACGTGTTCGCAAGTGCTTGCGGTCTCCCAATGAAACGCGTGACAATCAATTCCTACTCTTAATTTTGTGGGTCGCTACACTGGCTTCTCTACAAGCTGCGCTTCAGCAAATGGAGACACCGTTGAGAGCAACTCAGGTGCACTTGGCAAGAGCCAAGACCTGCTGGGTAAGCCCCAAAACAGCGAAGTGAGCTGCTGCCTGGGGTCAGCGAAGTAACGCTGTTACCCAAACATCTCACATAGTCACAGCAATTCCACCCCACCTGAGAACAAAGGGCAACCTCCGTTACCATTATCTATTGAGATTTGCAATGGATCAA